TTCAAATATCAGTTTCGAGTGCTGGAATTATTTTATTGCCACGTCCAGATGGTGTGGTTGAAGAAGAGCCTAATGAGGATGTTGACATGCTTGAACCAGAACAAGCTCCTCTGCAACCAAGAAATCCTGGAATTCCAAATTTTGATTTGTTTGACTCTGAGGATACTTGGTTTGATGATCCGCCAGAGGGTTTCAGCTTAACTGTAAGAGTGTAAATCTAAGGTCATTGCATATTATTTCTCTTTGTAAGTTCTATGCTGATGAAACCTTTCATGTGTTTCAGTTATCACCATTTTTAACAATGGGGAACTCACTCTTTACATGGATAACATCATCTACGCTAGCGTATATATATGGGAGGGATGAAAGATTTCATGAAGAATTTCTCTCTATTAATGGGAAAGAGTATCCCCGTAAGATTGTCTTGGCTGGTGGCCACTCTTCTGAAATCAAGAAAACCCTAGCTGAATCTCTTGCTCGGACTCTACCAGGAATTGTTTCCCAACTCAGGCTTCCAACACCAGTATCTAGTTTGGAGCAAGAAATGGTATTGTTTTTAATCTGTTGCGTGTTTTGTTTGAATTTTGATGAAAATTAGATGAATGGATTTGCTTTAGTGTACCTTATTGTCAAATATAATTTGTCATGCTTAACCGTTTGTTTATAATTCTAGTTACCTCCTTATAATACACAATTGAAAACTTTATATGTGTTGGTTAAGTATGTGTTATAGCCCATAACAAAACTAAGACTTGAAGCCTTTTGGCTGCGTAGGACTTTGCATTTTCCGCTTGGCGCCATTGTCAGGCATTTAAACTTAAAGCTTACTGCTTTATATACATTTCATATTGAACGCAAGTTTTATAGGAATACATGCAATTTTCCTCGTTGTTCTACTTTTAGGTGAAGCACTTGCATTTGTGTTTATGTGTAATTAACCACGTAGAGGATTCATTTTTTGAGGATACATAACTCCTTTACATCCATGGGTTTTGACCATTATCCAAGTGAATTCAGTGGAGTTTACAACTCCAACTATATGTGTGATTAACGAGGACTGGGAAAGATATCTTTTCACCTTATTAGTTCCTAGGAGCTACTTCCCACATGTTGATTTTACATGTACCATTATTTACTTGTATTCATTTCTATTCTACTTAGTAGTGCAAGCTGACAGTTTGCAAATGTTTTGTTATATTGGCATGACTTTTTGTCGGTGTGCTTTAATCAGTATAAAAGACCCTGCAGTGCAACCAAATACTGTGTTAATTTTGTCAACTTGACGTGATTATTATAACTTATTTTAATTTTGCATAAATAGATTCATTCCCTATTGTTTGGCAACATGTGACCTAGACGTTTCTGTACAGAGCCGCATGTTGGGGACGATGACTTTTGTTGATGCACTACCAGCATTCAGAATGAAACAATGGAAAGTGGTTGTTCTTCTTTTCCTTGAGGGACTCTCTGTTTGCAGGATCCCTGCACTTGGTCCTTGCATGCCGGACAGAAGGATGCTGTTTCACAAGGTAAGGCCTCATATATATATATATATATATATTTTTTTTTTTTCCGGTCTCAAACTTATTTACCTTACATACAAGAGAATATAAGTGTAAGTAAAGAAAAAGATTTAGACAAAAATTTGTTTCGATTTTCTTATCAGCTATCTTTAAGTATGCATATATGTTTAGACATTGTAGTAATTAACATATTAAATATTGAATCTCAATTTTTATATACTGTATGTTCGCGAGTTAAAACAAAGCGTTAATCTGTACATGTGGTTTTGGTTTTGGCCAAATAGGTGCTGGATGGTTCCGAGATAACTGCAGAACACTACGAGCTTATGAAGGATCATATAATACCCCTAGGCCGAGCACCCAAATTCTCAGCTCAGAGTGGTGCTTAATGGCATGGAAGGCTGACTTCAAATTGTCTCAGCTTACACATCATATATGGTAACCGTCGTTTTCATCTAAATATTTTGCGGTTTCAATTTCTGGAATCCACTCGTAGCCTTGTATTTTGATCGTAGACTTGAAAGCTGTTGACTGCAAAAGTAGCAGTTGGAAGCACCCTGTCTATGAAAGTGATTGGAGAAAAGCCATCCACCGCTGACTCTTTCAGAGCTGGAAGAACGATGTTGAAAGTCTGAAGCTTCATTGTACATGTTTTCTGAATATATATCCGACGGAAAATGTTTCTGTGGATTGCGTTGGGGGAAATCTACCAAAGCTGGGCAAATAAAGGAAGACTTATGGTAATTTATACAAATGCTTCCTGCCAAAGTTGAATTCCAGAATAGGATGGAGAGATGGCCTCTAGTGTTTTGGGTTTTCTTTGGTTCTAGTGATACTTTAACCTAATCGAAACTACATAAATGGAGATTCGAACTCGAGTGCAGTTGGGTAGAGCACATTGTTCTAGTCGAGTATTCTAATCTAGTCGAAATTACATGGATGGAGATTTGAATGTGGGTAGAGAGACATGGGGACCATATCGTTTTAGCCAACTTGGCTATGTTTATGTCAGCTCTCTAAGAGTTTTCAAACTTAAAAGTCTTATTTAAGCATTATTGAAGGATTAGGATAAGGAGTTGATATTATGTTAATTAATAATTGTTAATCCTTAATTTTGACTAATAGGCATCAAAGTGTGCTTGTTTTTTGGACACGTTGATGTTTTGAGAGTGGGTAAGTATGAAGTTGTTAAGAGTCAATTCGTAGGAGGATGATGGGTTTTGTTTGGCCTTTTCTTTTACCGGCAAAGTATATTCGCATGTTGGACTATATTTATTCTGGGCGCTCCTCCTTTACAACAAGGGCGCCCACCTCAAAAAGACATAAACACCCTTCTAGAATTTATTTATAGGGAACTTTAACGAAAAGTTTCCGGTACTGTTTATTTTAACGAAAAATTATATTTTTACACTAAAAAGTCAATTTTGGTACTATTTACTTTACCTTTTATTTTATCTTTATTGTCAAAATTCAAAGTTTTCAAATTTTTTTTGATTAGCTTTCCTTTTATCATATCCAATGTTCTATTTAACTGGTTAAACAATTGGAGTATTAACTGGGATTTGGACCTATTATGTTGTATTTCGGCCAAGGTCCACATTAAAGAAACAAAAGGGTATATTCCAATTAAACTTGATGTTTAACCATTACAGGATGATTTAATAGTTAGGGATGAATTTTAAGTTTGTATTTCTTATGACACGTCTGGGGTTTAATTTCTGATGCTGATGAGTTATATAATTGTGGTCAGAAAGTGATTGAAATGTTTTTGTGAGTTATCCCGATCTTAAAAGGTGCCGTGGCAAAGTTAGTTCTTTTTGTAGTAAAAGTATTCATTAATTATTTCCTTATATATCATCCGCAACTCTTCGGACCATTCACATCAAACTTTAACTTAGGTTGTATGCCTTAAGGAAAATTACTAAACCAAATGATTATAACGTTGTTATACATTAACAAATTCATATATTGTCGTATTTGTTTTCACTATAAGGATTTTAGGAAGGGGTGTGATATTCACACATATTTTTTTACTTTTCACACTCTTTTAATTTTCGGCCGTCGGATCGAATGTATTAAAGAAGATCAATGAATAGAAATTACCAATGAGTGTGCAAGAATTAAAAAAGAATGTGTAGATATCACATCCCTTTTAAGAAATGAGAATATGATTGTCAAAAAATTTCAAATTGAATGTTTTGAACCAATGTGCGCATCACTTTTAAAGTAAAACATTTTGTTCAAGCTTAATTTAATACCCAACAACCATTTAGTACTACAGTCTAGCTGTATTATTTTTAACTTGTGAGTTAAAGGTTTTAGGTTCGATTCTCGTTAAAGGTGAATTTGAATCATATTATTACTAGTTCATTGTGAGGCTAAGTCTACACTCTTCTCCTTACTGGAGATAATATAATTTGTTCAAAAAAATAAAAAAATTTGGTAACCCAACATGCTTCGATGATGTCTTACATGCATGCACAAATTTGGACATAATATGAACTAAGATTTATTATATATATATATATATATATATATATTATGATATAATGGTTTTTTTTCTTCTTATTTTCTTGTAAATGGATGTGGGTGCCCTTATGCAAAAAGTTGCCAAAAATCCATATCTTTCGCAATTTTGAGGACATGTGATGATCAAATGTAGATTAGCTGTAAAATTATATTAGTTTAGATAATTTGTAAAATATTTGAACTTAATATTAATCTCCAGCAATAGTATTTGCAATTGACGAAATTTTAATTGATAAGAATTTAAATTATGTCATGAAACAAAACTTTGTGCATACGTGTTTAAACTAATATAATCTTGTGACTAATATGTATTTAAGCTTTCACATGTCCTCAAAATGAGAACTGTGGGAGCCAATTAAAAGCAAGCTAGTAAGGTAAAAAAACAACACAACTAAAAGCAAGTTTGAATGGAGTCATTTAGTAATACTATAGTTTATAGTTTAGTGGTATTACTCTTTTTTTTATTATTATTAGTACATCGATATTTTTACACTTAGAGGAGGGGGAGTTCGATATTCCTTTTCACTTAGAAGAGAGAAGTCTTAAACTCGATTCTCACTATATTTGAACCATATCATTACCAACTTACTTCTGTACCCTTTTAATGTCGATAATATTGTTTGTTTAAAAGAAAATATATAAGCAAGTTTGAATGGTCAAAAAAAAAGGCCAGAGTCTTCTCATTTGTCTGGAATTTATTTTTAAAATATAAACTTATTTTTCTGTTGGAATTTTAAAATAAACTTTCTTAAATTTGTAAAATTAATAACAAATTAAAAAAACTAGGAGCCAATTAAAATAAAAGGGGTCTCCTTTGACTGTCCTGTGTTCCCAGCGCATCACAGCACCACCACACAGAAAAAGCAAAAATAAACAAAACACACAAACACTCGAATCCAAAAGAGGAAGAGACCTAGATCCTCTCTCTCTCTCTCCCTCCCCCTCCTTCCCACCTCTCTCTGATCACTGATCATGGATCTACGCCTCTGATTCCACCTCACGCCCTTCGTTTTCCAGATGATCCTCCCTTGATCTTCGCCAGTTTCTGCTTCGTCGGTACGATTTTCTTCCCCTGACACTCTTCTCATATAAAGTTACCTTTTTTTTTTCTGATTTTTTTTTTGAATTTTTTTTCTGTGATATATAAGGAGGGTTTTGTTTTATTTTTTTCGTTTTGGGTGTTTAGATCGGCTAGTTTTGGCATCTGTGACTGGCCCTTTTTTTTTTGGTGTGGTGATGGGGGGTTGGTGAGGGAGGAATAATTGTTATGATTAAATATTTCAGGTAGTTGTTTGATTTTTCTTTTGTGATTTTTGGGTTTAATTGTTGGATCTCTGTGTAAATGTTGATTTGTTTGTGGGTATATATAGAAGGTCAAAGAGTTGCCTTTACTAATTTGTGGGGTTCGTTTATTGTTCTTTTTTGTTGTGCAATTCATAAAATTTGTGTGCTTTGGTTTACAAGTTTTGATTTTTTTTCATATTTGTATATGTATGTGTATGTGTGTATATATATATATATTTATTTATTTATTTATTTGTATATGCTGGTAGGTACTGAGTTTGATTTTCAGCTTAAGCTCAGTTGATTGGCTACAAATTGCCTTTGCTTTACGAATCATAAAACTTTAAATGGATCTTTGTGTGGATTGTGGATGATGGCTGAAGAAAATTCTATTCGGATTGTCAATGTTGCATTTTCACAGTCAAAATTTTAATTATCGTTGCTTGATTGATTGATTGCAGTAGGTTGATGGTTGATTTTACCAAGGCTAAACCATAAGAGAACAGGGAATGGCTTCAGTGGGTGTGGCGCCTACGTCAAGTAGGAGAGAACCCAGTGGTCACGTGGTTGGTGTGGATAAGTTGCCAGAGGAGATGAATGACATGAAAATTAGGGATGACAAAGTACGTAAGCCATTAGTTTAAGTGCTTTCTTATCAGAGTATTTTCTCCTTGGTACTTTTTTGTTTTTCGTTTTTAGGATTATCGTATATTTGGTTTTGAGGACTTATGGTCTGCTTCACTTGTGTAGGAAATGGAATCCACAGTTGCAGTCGTTGATGGTAACGGAACAGAGACAGGCCATATAATCGTGACAACTATTGGTGGTAGAAATGGCCAGCCAAAACAGGTATAATATTTCTCTTTTGGACATTAGTCTCTAGTTGATGTGGACCACTGATATGTTGTTTTCCTTTATTATTTAATTGCAAGTTTCCTCTAACAAAATGTTGTATATTTTGTCATAATAGACAATCAGTTACATGGCTGAGCGTGTTGTCGGACACGGATCATTTGGAGTTGTGTTCCAAGTAAGACTCTAGTCTTTTGCTTTACAATTCACTATGGAAAATGAATGGCCCTTCAAATCGGTAGCAATTTTCATGTCTTAAATTCTGAGTTCTTATTTGTGCAGGCAAAGTGCTTAGAGACTGGTGAAACTGTGGCTATTAAGAAGGTTCTGCAAGATAAGAGGTACAAGAATCGTGAGCTACAGACGATGCGCCTTCTTGACCACCCAAATGTTGTTTCTTTGAAACATTGCTTCTTTTCAACGACGGAAAAGGATGAACTTTATCTTAACTTGGTGCTTGAGTATGTTCCTGAAACGGTTCACCGTGTGATTAAACACTACAACAAGTTGAACCAACGGATGCCCCTTATATATGTTAAACTCTACACATACCAGGTATGATGCCAACGAATGTGTCCCTTTTTTATTTTTCTCTAAGTTGCATTTGCATAGTTTTAATATTGTAAAAGGAACATTTCTTTCTTTCTTAGGAAGTAGATAATTTTACGTAAATTGTGCAGTATGTTATATACCATATTTACATAAATTGTGCAGTATGTTATATACCACATTTAAGAATTGAGCTGTTGGACTAAAATCTTACTTCTTGAACCCAAGGCTTAGGCTAAATTGAATCTCAGAATTGCTCATTAGGGCATAATGTTGTTCCTGCTGCCCTGGAGGGTTTATGTTCTGAGTTGCTGAAATTTGCCTCATTTCATCCATATTTGGCAGATCTTTAGGTCGTTATCCTACATTCACCGCTGCATTGGAGTGTGTCATCGGGACATTAAACCTCAAAATCTTCTGGTATGTACTTTGATTCTTGTATACCTATATGCCTATTAATAACTTGTTAACCCTATTGTTGTGGGTGGCGGTGTTTATGGAGTAAGTAAACAGAAAAGGTATAAAATTTGGTTCTTATTTTGTGCAGATGAACCCTCGTATACCTATATGCCTTTTAATATCTTGTTAAACCTATTGTTGTGGGTGGTGGTGTTTATGGAGTAAATAAACAGAAAAGTTATAAAATTTGTTTCTTATTTTGTGCAGGTGAACCCACATACCCACCAAGTAAAGTTGTGCGACTTTGGAAGTGCCAAAGTTTTGGTATGTTTTGTTGTTTTTGGTGTCCTTTCTCTTTCAATGATACTCATCGTGTCGTTTGCTTCTGTTGGATTGACATATATCTATATACTGTGTTATTGTTGTGCAGGTAAAAGGAGAGCCAAATATATCTTATATCTGCTCTAGATATTATAGAGCACCGGAACTTATATTTGGAGCAACTGAGTATACTTCAGCTATTGATGTTTGGTCTGTTGGGTGTGTTCTTGCTGAGCTATTGCTCGGTCAGGTACGTGCTTTGACTGTTGTATTTTATGAAATAAATGTTTAGTACGATTCTAATACAACAGCGTTTTCTTTTGCATCAGCCTCTCTTTCCTGGTGAGAGTGGAGTTGACCAGCTTGTTGAGATTATCAAGGTAATTCATCATTTATATCGTTTTGGCAGTAGTTAAAATCTTATTTAATCTAAAGGATATGGATTACTCTTTTTTACTTGGTGTTTTCATGGAATCTTGAACTTTAGTCTTTTATTACGGTAGTGATTTATGTGTTGCTTTTTCTCTTGGTAGGTTTTGGGCACTCCAACACGGGAGGAAATCAAATGCATGAACCCTAACTATACGGAGTTCAAATTTCCTCAAATCAAAGCTCACCCGTGGCACAAGGTAATATAATGGAAGATATTATGTATGATATTATATTTCATTCACCAGATAGCATATTTATATCTGTTATTTTCTTAGATATTCCACAAGCGTATGCCTCCAGAAGCTGTTGATCTGGTTTCAAGACTGCTGCAATACTCTCCTAACCTGCGGTGCACAGCTGTGAGTACTAAGTTTTTAATTTTTTTTTTCATGTCCAAATAGTAAAGTTTCGCGGATTTACCTTTCTTATTAAAAAATTTAACTGATAAATATGTGCTATTAAAAGAAAATTCAGTAAAATTCCCTTTATTTTCAATCATGGTTCTGGAAAAAAAATAAATAAAAATTCAATCGTGTGTCCGTATACAGCTGGATGCCTTGGTCCACTCCTTCTTTGATGATCTTCGTGACCCGAATACCCGCCTGCCGAATGGACGCTTCCTTCCGCCTTTGTTCAACTTTAAATCACATGGTATGATATTGTTCTCAGACAATTTGTTTTTTCTTCCAAATTTGTTTTCCTTCTCCATGCCTTTTATCAAATTTCTTACCTTTTGATGTTGCGTGTGCTATCAATCAGAATTAAAGGGAGTGCCTGCGGAAACTTTGATGAAATTGGTTCCAGAACACGCGCGAAAGCAAGTCCCGTTCTTGGCGTCCGATTAGTTTGTGAAATGTGAGTAACCCCATGCGTGGTCCCATATTGAAGCTCTGTGTTCTCTTCTACCTGGCCTGCTATTTGTGTCCATCTTATTTAATTTACCTCATTGTATGACTTTGTTTTGTAAAATTAGATGTGTTCTATTGAATCTTGTCATGTCCGAACCTCAAAGGGTATTTATGAGTACCGTACCTCTTCCCTGTATCGCCGAAGATTGTAGCTTCGCACAGAAGACGAACGCCAGCTTTTATCAAAATGTGTCTATCTGTATTCCTAGTAGACAGACCAATGTACCAATGTACCAATGATCTGTGATTTCGTATTTCCGTGTAATCGAGGTTTGTTTGTGAGATTTTATTGAAGGGCCAAGTTCCCTGTCGTGGTAGGAAGTAGCAAATCTCCCGTAGGTTAGTGTACAAGTGGAAACGTTTGATTTCTAATTGACGGGTTGTTTCATGCGTGACGAATGTGTCTTGTTCTAAAGTTGCATCAGGTTTTGAAAACTACAGCATTTTGTATGCCTCGAAACTAAGCCTTCCAATTTGTACTGGTTACCTTGATTTCATCAAACTGATGAACGTGCTGGCAAGTGATTTTCGTGAACTCTTTTTATGTCCATCAGTACCAATGTTTCGTGTTTTAGTTTGAACTAAAAGGCGGCTATTATGGTTTATGTTCAACCCTCGTTTTCAAATAAAAGGCAACTATTATCTCATTTTCAACCCTCGTTGCGTGCAAATCATTACCAAGTTTATGTTCTCTTTTTGACGATTCGATATTTTAGTTTGAACTAAATATATTGAACTTAGGCACAAGAGGGCGGTTGTAACAAACTTCGGCATAAGAGGACGGATAAACTGCTCTGATCTGCTGATCTAATGCACAACTGCGAAACGCCACAACTGAATTCTTCTTTTTAAGGGTTTTTGGGTCATCACCTCAAACTCAGAAATACGAACAAATCTTCAACACCCCCGCTATTCATTTCTGACTCCGGTTGCCATTGATTGCAGATCCCAACCATGCTGACCCAGAGAGCGACCAAAGGGGTCTGCAACCGCTTTTTCAATATGGTAATTGATTTCTTTTTGTCAATTTAATCGCGTTTTCATTGATTACCCAGTTGTTCATTGCTTATTGAATAATGAGTTGGAGACAGATTTTGATTTTTCTTTGATTAGCTTAAGTTTGCTTGGTATAGAGTAATGGGTTGGAGGCAAGAGTTTGTGTTTATGTTTGTTTAGAAATACATGTGTTGGTTAGGCCAGTTGACATGACAGTGTGCCCGCCCTATTGGACTTAAGTTCAAATCACCCTCTCATAGATTAGACTAGTTTAGAACGTCGCATTGTCAAAAATGATTTGTTTCTGCAGATTTATATGTTCTCCTTGGTATGGATTTTTAGGGATCTTGCTCACATGGTGATTCTTGTAAATACCTTCATCCCAATAACAGTCAGCAGAATACAGTTTTGATTGATACTAATCAATCTTCGACTTTTCAAGAGAATCAGTCGGTTGGAGGCAGCTCCTTGCCAGGTAACTTCAAATTGTATGTTGCTAGTTGACCGTTGGTGTCTTCGTTTTTGTTTTTCACAAACTCGACTTCAGATGTGAGCTAGTCCGACTCCTGAAGTTAATGCTTTAGTTCTAGTGCTTACTTTTCCTCATTATGCTTCACAGATGTGGTGGTCAGAGATCATACGGGAGCGTCATCGAGCAATCTACCTCCATCCCTAATGCCTCCTCCAGAGGGTGGACATCCGCGGCTTCCTTTTGTAGGCTGGGGATAAGTTCAACTTTTTTTGTACGGATAACTTCCTAGATCCTAGTAAACTTGGTTTGAACTAGTTGACATACTTCTAGTTAAGTTTCATCAAGGCTTGTAGGATTGTACCTTGTGTTTTATAGTACTGACTGAAACATGTTGTTCATATCATTTCCAAAGAGAATGTGTTGTATCTTGTACTATAGTTCCTTTTTCAAGAAATGCTTGTTTCGTTTGATTCGTGTCTGAGTGTTTATGCTGCGACGGACATGCACCTTTTCTCAACTTCTGTATCGTGTCTGACTTGTTCGAAAACTAAGACATGGGTATCGAAATTGATTCGGTTCCCGACTTCTCTTGCGATTACTAACACCAGCCCAAAAAATTTGTGGCTTGCGTTGCAATCCGGAATACAAACTTGAAAACGAGAAATTATATTGATTAAGGAGAGTAGTTGATTTCATACTCATTTCTTCTTGTATCTTGACTTGCGCAAATGTTGGATTAGAGAACATGTGATAACAAAGATCATAGTAATGCCCATGTTGAACTTTGACCCGTTTCGTATGTAGAACTCTTTTTATTTTTTTTTTGTTGATAATCCTTTTGTTATGAAGAAAGTTAAGGCAGTGGTTACACTCCTCAACACAACATTCGTTTCCAAACAATGCGAGATAAATTGCCAATGCAAAGAATAAATAACGAAAATTTAACCTACAATTCGGTTGCCAATGGTTTATATCTTAATGGTTTTCTTCAACTAATTAAAGAGAGTTGTTGTTACTCTATTAAAAGAAGAGTTTTTGTTTGAAATAGTTAAAGAGAGTTTAAAAGACTTGTATTCTTTTAAAAAGAGTTTAAAATTGAGGGGTTAATTTTTTATTTTATTTTATTTTTTAACAAAAGGAAGACATACACACTTTTGAGGCCACTTGCATCTTTAATGGAAGATGCAAAATACCTTGGAATGTGTATTTTGCAATTTGTGTTGGCCTAAACCTTCGAATAGAGAGATGTAAAATATACATCTTAGTTGGAAATTATAAACAAAAACCTAAAATATACATATTTTTTTGCATCTATTGGTGGTGGGTTCTGTAAATCAAAGTCAGAAAATTAAATAGAATCTTAAATTTACATCTATCTTATTGGATTAGAAATCTTAGCATATTTCGAAAGTGTAAAATAATTAACATGTAAATATAATTTTTGTATCTCAAATTTGCATCTCTTCATTGAAAATGCTCTAAGGCAGTAAATGAAAGAAATGTAAGCCATGAATTATGGGACTGCATAACTGAAAAATTAACATAAATACACAAACAAACAAGTTGTAGGAAAAAAAAATACAAACAAAAAAGACAATTTAATATGCAAAAGGGTGCCATTCATAGAAAAAATTACAATTTAATATGCAAAAGAGTACCATTGATAGGAAAAGTTACTATGCAAACAAAAATATTACTTTTACCATATTTTCATATCATATTTGTACCATTTTTCTAATAAATATGGAACTCATACACATGTGTTGATGCCTTGATGGGTGCTATCTCCATTAGAAATTTGCTATAAATGTAATATAAAAAATGTGATAAGTGTAACATTACTCTTATGCAAATTAATGAATAGGGTCAAATACCTCTTAATACCATTAATAAAAGAAATAAAATAAAATAAAGAAGAGCTGTTAGAAATTGAATAATAATAAAAATTCAGTGTCAAGGTAGGAGAAAATCTCTCAAGACTCACGTAACACGTACCGTGTAAGTAGGAAAAGAGGGGATATATATTTCAAGTGAAGGTATTTAGGGTTTAACCGTCGAAGTAGTGTCAAGAGTAGTGGTCACAGACTCACAGTTTCTTAACTTCACAAAAGGGTCGCAGTTGATTCTGATTTGAGCCAGCATCTACAGAAATTCTCCAGAGACTTTTGTTTAGGGTTTTGTTTTTTGTTTTTTTGTCTTCTTTATTTTGCTGGTGTTTGTCTTTTAGCCGAATATGAATCCTTTTCTATTCTCATTTTATTCAATGCCAAATGCAGCAAACTTGGCTTCTACATGGTAAACAGATCAAACAATTTGTTCTATAATTTGTCACGCACAAAGAAATTTGAATAGGGCACACTTCACTAAACCCTAATTTTTAAGCTCAAAGCATGATGAAGCTCTCTCGTTTCTTCACGCTGCTTTTTGTTGTGCTTTTAGTGTTTGTCATTGTTTTCCTTCAAAAACGACATATAAAACACAAAGATTTGCACATAACATCTCGGATATTAAATTGGCCATGGCCATACCATGTACCGAAAATATGGCCGCCATATTCCTCCCCATCCGTCTACCCTAAGAGTCCATCGGTTCAAATACCAGAATCTCCACCTCCAGATTACCCTGAGAATCCTTACAAGTTGCGGGTTTTTAATGTGTTGGACTTCGGTGCTCAGGGGAATGGTGTCAAAGATGACACTGAAGCATTCCAGGACACTTGGAATGCTGTTTGCCAAGCTGAAATTAGCACTGCTGCCATGTTTCTTGTTCCTAACAATTTATCCTTCTTGATTCAACCTATCGTTTTCGAGGGGCCTTGCAAATCTAGGCTTGTGTTTCAGGTAATTTTAGTAATTAATTATCATGTTACAAGTCGTTTAGTTGTAACTATTTGTATGTTTATATGTTAATTAATGGATGAGATCAGATTGAGGGAGCCCTTATGCCTCCGGATGGACCCGATCAATGGCCCCCAAACACCAAGAGGCAAGACTGGCTGCTCTTCAAAGAAGTCCATAGAATGCTAATGCAAGGGAATGGTCTTTTAAATGGGAGAGGAGAGAAATGGTGGGACCTCCCCTGCAAGCCTCACAAGGTATGATGATATCAATAATTAATTACGTGCTTTTGACCGGTTGGTAAGGTCAGTGTGTAACACTCGAATTTGAACTCTCTTCTTGTACACGCAAACAAGTAGTTTAGAATTGGCTTTTTAAAAAAGTTTCTCATTTAATTTTTTTTTTCTTCTGATAATTATATATTTAATCTTAGAACTACATGCCTATTGATGATATTAATTTTGTATCAATGTTGGAACAGGGAGGAAAGGGTCCTTGTGATAGCCCATCTGTAAGTGCTCACCACAGAAGTTATTATCATGATTTAACAGTTGAAAATAGCCCTCTTTATGTTATTAAAACCTTATTAAAAATCAAATATTCAAGCAACCATTGCTAATAATTGTATATTTGAATCTTATAATGCATGCAGATCATAAGGTTCTCAAAAGGGTCAGATTTGTTTGTTCGAGGACTTAGGCTTGAGAACAGCCCCAAGATTCATATTCGTTTTGATAGTTGTGCACATGTCAGTGTCGAAAGCATTAGCATAATTTCACCTGAAGACAGTCCCAACACAGATGGAATCCACATAGAGGACACAACCAATGCCGAAATACACCATTCAACCATTTCCACGGGTAATTATTTACAACTCGCACATTTTTTAACATTGAAAAGAAAAATACGACTAGACTATAATCTAGTTGATTGTGCTTTCTTGTGTGTGTGCATAACTCCTACATTTCTATCATATTGAAGCAGAATTTTAATTATTTGAAGGCTCATTCTTCTCTACCTCAATTTCATATGTAGGCGATGATTGTGTCTCGATTGGAACGGGCTGCTATAACGTGGATATAAGTTACATGACGTGTGGTCCAAGTCACGGAATAAGGTATTAGACCATTGAGGTTCAGGATGATTAATATCAGAATGTGTATGTTTAAATTCACAACTTAACAACAAAAGTCTGATGAGAGGATATTTCCCAAATTATATATCTTGATATAACTAAATATTCTGTTTCTCTTTGCAGCATAGGTAGTCTTGGCAAAGGAAACTCACAAGCCTGTGTTACAAACATCACAGTGAGTGACTCCATCATCAAGAATTCCAACAACGGTGTTCGGATCAAAACATGGCAAGGCGGCTCCGGCATGGTATCTAAAGTAACCTTCAAGGACATTCACATGGACACAGTTTTAAACCCCATTATCATAAACCAGTTTTACTGCCTCAAGAAACAATGCTCCAACCAAACTTCTGCAGTATTGATTGACAGTGTTCAGTTCTCAAACATAATGGGCACGTATGACAGTAGAAAGCCTCCTATGCATCTTGCTTGCAGCGATTCACTGCCATGCAAAAATCTGACCCTGTCGGGAATACACTTGCTTCCTGCTCAAGGAGGGACTCACTTGGATCCATTTTGCTCGCAAGCTTTTGGTACTAAGGATGCATTTTCCACTCCACAGGCTCCATGTTTGATGACAGGTTACCCCAAAGGGCTGGAAAATGAGGTGGATAGGTCATGTTTTTAGTAAATGTGATTATGCGAGGGATTTCGGATTAGAATCTGTAATGTAAGTCTCCAATAAAATCATGTAGACGCGTCTCTAATAGAAGTGTAGAAGTGAAATATCCTACCTTTATTAGTGACGCTGTCCGTCTACAATATTCAGTAAAAGTGGTTTGTGTACCATTACTCATCTCTCTCAGCCTTTTTTCAGGAACTTTAACAATAGCAAAGATAAGGATGTAGTGGTTCATAATCATTTATCTTTGCAATTGAACTCAACAATAGTTTGAATAACATTGATAAATAAGTGTTAAGGAATGTCGGTACTACAAGATAAAGAATGCACAAAGTAAAGTAGAAAATGGAAACCAAGAATTTATGCCCACGTCCACGAAACAAGGATCAATCTTCACTATATGAAAAAGATGAGTACAACAAGAGCAGTCTTACCAAGCCAAAGACAAGGCTTGATGGATATAAAAAAGTATAATACACACTTTCTATCACTCTAAACTTCACTCACACAATGTGTAGTGGAACACTCTCACTCTCACCCTTGGATTGGAACTTTAGCCTTGGACTTGATCCTTTTCTACTCACTCTTTCTTGATTGGTTACATCACTACAACATCACACCCATATTTATAGGTGAGGGCTTTGCATTCTACTAGTTCCTAGTTCCTTCTACAAACTAGAACTAGTTTCTAGTTTCTAGTATATTCTACAATCCTCTAACTTAGATAATTCTATACTAGCCACAAAAATGTAGCTTCTAGATCTTTCCATTTTGCAACCAAAGAAGCTAGTACTTTCTAGCTTCTTCCACCAACTTAATAACTTGCTAGAATTGTCTAGCATGCTCCAACCACCTCACTTGCTTACTAGAATAATCTAGAACATTCACCATGGGTTGGACCATATACCAACAATAAGCGCATAAATCAATTGATTCTCCATTGCTTTCCTACTTTTTCTAGACAAACAAACAGATCTTTATCACCAACTAATGTATTACTAGATATTATTATTATTAGGGGTGTGCTATCCACACACCCTTTTTACTTCATACACACCCTCTTTAATTTGCGGCCGTCGGATCGACTGAATTAAAAAAGATCAAATGGCAGAAATTAATAAAGGGTGTGTGAAAAGTAAAAAGAGGTGTGAATAGCACACCCCTTATTATTACTATGTGACATCTTTGAATTTCTTTACTACTTTGGAGGTGATTCGAGCTCAGATATAAAAGAGCAAACATCATGCACTGTACCATAACCCATATCTAATATGTATGTTAATATAATAATGAGTTTTCAATCCGAAGTATATTTTGTGTCCTAGTATAAAATTTTATTAGTTAGTAGATTTAAAACGCTCTTACCATTTATTGAGAGGCTTATAGAATTTTTAAGTTGGAAAAAAAGAAAAATCAATAGAAATAACACTAGCTGGCGAGAACATATCCAGAATGGAGTATAGTCGACCTGAACAACTTCAAATATTCTGCATGAGCTTGTAGTGCATCGATAACTCCATGAAAATAGGTTGTATCAATTAATGACCAACTTAAATTTGGAAGGAACGGATTTTTTTTCTGAATAATGTGATTGTTAAGTATTTGTAAAACCTTTTGATTGCCCTGGGTGTAAAATGTAATAATAAGCCATTTAGAAGCAGTAGTTTTATCATTTATTGAGTAATATAAGTCAGTTTTTTGTTGAAACTTTTAGCTTGAAATAGTAAAATCATTATAAAAAATTAGTAAGGCCTAGAATGGAACTAGTACAGAGTTAAATCGGTAAAAAAATCTCAGGAATGTCTTACAATTTTTAAGAAGCTTTTATAATTCTCAAAAATAGGTTTTATGATGATTATTTATTGCAGAATTGACTAAAAACTGTTAGTTTTAACTCTCAATGTTTGTAACCAACGGACACAACTAAAAATACCAAATAGGCACATGTCCAAGTAAAATATCCCAAAACTTCATAAAACAAATTAATTCAACACTTGTGAGCAAGATGAATTAACATGTTTTTGACACTGATCTATGCACCATACCAATTACTTTCATGGTGATTTCCAAGACCTGCGGGCAAATAGAAATCCTCACAACTGAGATAGTACATAGACCATGTCATGCCATTTAAAATGCAATTTGATAACAACTTGATATCCGATATATATTTCATCAGATAATTGACTAGCACATAAAAATGTGACTTAATGAATCCAATTGGAGATTAAATTGAATACATGGATTCTATACATACCTTATAGGTCATCTGCAAATATAAGGCATTACTAAAATGAAACTCAAGCTCCCACTAATCTGCTGCAACATTGTTACTTAATTTGCAAATCAATACTTAAATCATATTTTTGAAAATATGCCTTTGGGAATAGCCTTTCTCAATCAATGAATGCATATTACCTTAATGAAAGGTACAACTAAGCACGGAAGCAATCACCACTGTTACAAAAACATGCACCAACAACCATCTTATATGTATTAATAATTCCACATTTATGCTAAGTCCTTATGAGCCTCAAGACAAATGATCAACCGAGAAATCTAAATGATTGCAAGTAACGTAAAAATGTACGCATATACCAATTATTCATTCGTGCAACTTAAATATATTATAGACATTCGAGTAACACAAATTCATGGAAGATAAAATAACGCTTTAATAGATTCATGCAAGTCCACTTAATGCTTAAAATTTTAGAACAACTCCCACTAAGTTTTCAGAGTTTATACTTGCAAATAAGTTAATGAGTGTGAAGCCCAATTTTCGTTCACTAATTCTCCCACATGGGCAAACACTCGTTAATATATTCTTTCAAAGATGTACCTAAGAAAATTGCTTTATATTTTAGACATAATAAATAGACATCACAACCAACATAAAGTTGTCAAACAGAATTTCAGTAATGAGTTACACTTACTTTAGAATTCATCATAATTAATTTACGAGCTTGATTGCTACCAAAGTTATACTGATCAAAATAGACATACTAATCTTCATAAAATAAAAACATAGAGCTGTTTTGGGTCAAAATAGTAGTCTAAAGTGACGTCTCAAAACGACCAACACAATCTGCCAGTATAACACTCTATACAAGCATGGGTTACTAGTAAATTCACCATAATTAAAATACATGGCGAAAAATTACCAAAATTTGCAGACACATAGTAGACATATATATTTTGAACATATTAAAAATTTAGGTCATTTGGTGACCATTATACGTGTCATTCATCCGACTGTAATCAAGACACACAATCTGCCAGAAAAGCTATGTTCATCTATCATGAACATAAACATCTCTAAAAAATTCAATTTCACGTTATTTCAATTTCGATGTCCAAAGGACACTCAAGTAATCAAATTTCATCCTCTAAACAGACATCATAGTTCAAATTGAAAATATTTACAAGCATTATACTTAAACAATGCATACCTTAGCAATCCTTGATGAACCTTCATGGGTTCAATACTTTGCATCAACAAGTCTCATGAAGAGACACAAAAATATGTCATGATGCGACCAATTTCCATGCCTTCAAACCACAACCTTTTATGGGGCTCATTGTAGAAATATTTGTAACTAATGGCATGGAACTTTATCCCAATAAACTTCATGAAACTAAATTAATTTACACATGTAGGCAAGAAAATTAACTAGTTTCTAGTACTAGATTTTATGTCACAAAAGTACCTTCATGAAAAAACTTCAACACATGTAGGCAAGATGAAGATTTTCACAACTTCTGTGAAATAAAACCTATACCATGCCATCTTAATTAAACTAAAAGAAATAATCCACACATGTGGGCAAGAAGATTATCCCTCTTATTCTAATTAAGATGCAATGTTGACTGAAGTAATTAAAAAATACAGTCTCATCGTCAACTAAGCCGTTGTGGCTTGCTTGATTGAAAAGCCATTGATCAACTCCTCCCTGAAACAATTCAAGAAGTTACATGGATTAATTAACTGTAAGTGACAAAATATGATAACCTGATTTGAGCTTCGAGTCCTGCCAACAAATGGCACTAATTCCTTCATGACTCCCTTTGACATTAAATTAATCTCAAGAAACTTGATAACATACTTGAGAGATATTAATCACATATAGAACAAGTTTTATTCCACCACAAGAATGTCAATACTTACCTTTATGGAGTCAATTACTTAAATTAGAAATACTTTATGTAATGTGAGAGAACAATATATTCCTTTAATTTAAAAGCTAAATCGCTCAAATGTTTTCTTAAGTCAAACGGGTTCCTTTCCTTTTATATATTTCTTTCCGTAGTACAAAACTACTAAAACATAGCATTAAAATCATGCATTAGCTTTGTAAAAACCAAATTAAATAAGAGGAACAACCAAAATTGTTTTCTTCCATAGAAAACATCTCCAATATATGCCCTACATTAGCCTTGAAAAGTTTCTTTTCTTCTCCCCTTATGGCACATAAAAATTTACTAATCAAAGCACTGTTTAAATTCTTTAGGCAAACCATATACAAGTTTGAAAACTTATGCTTATCTATTTAGTCACATGCTTTGAATGAAATACATACCTCATGCCTTCATATGTTCACCACTTCTTTATAAACATGTATTTATAATCACATGACCAACCACAATTCTCATATAAATAGATAAAAATACAAATGAGAATTGTCACATAATTACTGCAAATCTCATTTTATTTGTATATTGTTCTCATTCTTGCCACCGGATGCTTTCTGCCATTCTCAGTCAATTCACAAGTTATGCATCAATTTCATAATTTCTAGCCATGTACAATTGACTATACTAAGATATGAAAGCAAAATTGTAGACAAAACTAATTTGATTAGTCATGCATATTCCGTATGAGTTAATATCACTATGACCATAAGCAACAAATGTACTGCATAACTATTGCTTATCTGCGATTATACATATATTGGTGTCTTTGTATGGGATCATCTCAAGCTTAAAGCAACATATGACCACCCAAT